CCCTGCATACACTAAGTGCACTGTGTGCAGTATACAAAAATACAAAAATGTTGCAATACTAGTAAATCCACCAAGCAACAACCCATGTTTCAACACAAACATAACGCATTTTAAAAAACACTACAATTGCATGAATTTAAATTAATGTGGCGGGGGAGGGGGTGAATGACAGCAGCAGTGCCTATTGCGTCACTACCACCCACAGGCAGAGCAGTTGGATGTTGAGGAGAGTGCCAGTAGAAGACAGACAGGCATTTACAGGTGGACTCCTCATCCCACGGAACTGTCCACCAGCCCACTGTTGAACATTTTATTGCTTTTCATTTCGGGGCCATGTGAAAACAGTAGCCTAACATAATCACCCGCCTTATTTCCCAGTTTTGTGGAGTGCTCCTAATAGCCAGCATGCCTTTCTTTCCTTTACAACACACTGTAGAGGCCCACAGTGCCTGGGTATGGTGGAGGTCCGAACTTACTGCACACCATTCTTGAGGATTGCAGGTGTATAGAGTGTCTAGGGCTGTATAAACAAAGTGATTTAACTCCTAAATGGCAGAGAATTGAGCAGCGAGACTGTAGGGGCATGATCTATACACCAAAACCACTTCATAAAGCTAACATATTTTTGGTTCCTATAATGTCGCTTTAATATCAGCTGGAATTACATCTCTGCTTCTGCCGTTAATCGAAAAACCAAATTACCAGTTTGAAGTGATTTCTAATTGTGCCACAAAACGGAAAAAAACATTCTTGACTTAAAATTGCCACTCAGATTTCTGCTTGAATTATCAAGCTGTTACCCACATAGCAATGATTATGTCCATGAATAGGAGGGCCAGGTCAGACCAGGCTCCAGAGTCCAGAGAAGCAAAAGTCCCAGCAAGGTACATAAAGGGCTATCCTATAACACGATCATGTCTTCTCAGTGGTCAGAGTCCAGAGAAGCAACTCAAGGTACACCAGGTGCAATCGACCAGGGGTCAAAGTAAAACACACACATATATATATAACCCAGATAAGGTACATAGAAGAAATATAGTAAAACCCTAATGTACTATAACTAGAGCACAGAATGACTAAATATCCTGCTCTGTCTGTTCTGGTCTCTCATAAGCTGATATGGGACAAGTCATGAAGGACCAGAATTGGTTCTTCCCATGGTAAACTGTGCCATAATTACCACTTTACTAAGTAAAACATTTTTATTTTAAAAAGTATTAGCATAACTTTAATTTCAATTATTGTATTCATAGCTAGAATATGACAGTAGACTAAAACAGCACATTTGTGTATAGATTGCTGTTTGTGGTACATAAAAATGCAATTATGTAAATGTATATAACATTAATTTTTTATATCAAATTAATTTTTCATTAATTTATTCACACTTTGCTAAAATATTTAAGAAGTTACAGCACTCTTTATCTTGCAATCATTTAGACTGTGTGAAAAAAGGATACATAACATTCTTAGATTTGTTTTTGCAGAGTAGGTGTGATAAATAGATTACTAGCAAAATCAAATATTTGCATATGTAAATTTGTAAGGAACCGGGGGCATTTTGTAAGATTGAAGCATCCTAAATATATTAACAAGATGCAAAAACAATGTCAGTATGTGGTGGTCAAACATCTACAAAGATAGGCCAGCTATATGTACTATACTTGGCTTTACAAGCTATTTCTGCAGCCTTCAAATAATCCCTCTAGTACACTCAGAGTATTCACAATTGGCAAAAATCCTCATATCTGACTTTAAAGGATCACTATAGTGCCAGGAAAACATACTCGTTTTCCTGGCACTATAGTGCCCTGAGGTTATCCCCACCCTCAGGGACCCCCTCCTGCTGAGCTCTGGGGAGAGGAAGGGGTTAAAATCTTACCTTTATCCAGCGCCGGGCGGGGAGCTCTCCTCTTCTTCTCCTCCTCCATAACGACGTCATCGGCTGAATGCACATGCGCGGCAGGAGCCGCGCGCGCATTCAGTCAGTTCTTAGGAAAGCATTCTCAATGCTTTCCTATGGACGCTGACGTCTTCTCACTATAAAAATCACAGTGAGAAGCATGCAAGCGCCTCTAGCGACTGTCAAGAGACAGCCACTGGAGGCTGGATTAACCCTAACATAAACATAGCAGTTTCTCTGAAATTCAGCTCAATAAAAGTTATAGTTAAAAATCAATCAGAACTATGACACCAGCAACAAACACTCTCTAAACATATGTGGCATGAGTCAGTGAGACCTGGATATCTTTCTGCAGGTTTAGATATGCTAAAAGGATTCCATTCACATTCAATTTGCACCTCTGTCTCCATTAAAGTGAACCTGTCATGGTATTTTAAGTGATAACATATTTTTATGCAGTCATTATTTAATGTGTCATAATGATAAATTATATAATATTTAATGGGGTTACGAGATGTGAGATGAATAATTATACCTCCCTCAGTGCTGTCATAATATGTGGTCCATGGATGTTACACTAATGTCTCATGCCCTCTCCTACCTCCCACCTCCATATGCAAATGGCTCTGCTTAGTACGACTTCCCTAAGCACAAGCCACCTGTCCCATTACACTGATGTGCTGGCTTCATGCCGAAGCATTAGAAATCGGAATGAGTGATATTTGTCATTCTGCTCCTATACTTCTCTAGCGGAGTAAGACATGCACTTGCTAGAGGAATATTCAGAGCAACTACAGTGCATGTGATGTAGTTGCTTTGCAGGAGAGCAGGATAGTTCTTTGCTTTCGTATGTCATTTAATTCTCAGAGTGGAAGGCTATTAACAAGTAAACCAACAAATAAAGGAGTGAACTGCGCTTAACAACACGTGTACATGCATTAAATAGTGACATCCTTTGTGGAACTTCTATTTTTATAGCAATGATTATATACAGGAACCAGATACTACAGACATGAGCCATGTTATTTTCTATGCAATGTCTATCACTGTACATCTAGTTTTAATTATATTGCACTTATCTGCCCTTTTTGTCTTTTGTCTTTTTGTTAAGATATGTTTAACAAAAGAAGTTCCACAAAGTATTTTACCAATTCATGTATGTACATTGTTGCTAAGTGTAGCTTATTCCTTTGTTTGTTGGTTTGCACAATGTTGTGGAAACTCCTTGTAGGTGCAGTTCACTCCTTTGTTTGTCGGTTTGTTCGATTTGCACAATGTTGTGGGAACTCCTTTTATTTTGATATTTGTTTGGTAGTGTTTTTTATAATTGGCTATTAATAAGTGTATGGAGGAACCATATTTTATATTGATTTATTGCAATGTATAGAAGGAATAATATACTATCTAATTGAATGTAAATCTGTGTGTACCATGACTGGACCTCCATTACCTTCATCCACCCCTTGTGCAAGGTGCTATTAATGATCTTGTTCATACTCTGTTGTTGTGTGCATTGATTAATGTTAATTCTTTCCTAACTGGTCTTTCCAGAAACCATACTACCTCTCCACTGTCCATAATGAATGCTGATCCCCGACTGATTTTTCTCTTTTGTGGCTCCTCTTACACATCACCCGTCTACCAATTGATACATTGGCTCTCTGTACGCTATAGAATCCAATTCAAACTATTAACTCTAACCTTCAAACCTCTCAAACAGTCTAGCACCTGCTACTTTTCTTCATATGCATACACTTGTGCTCTGCCAGTGACTTTCTCCTGTTTCTGTCTGCTGCTCATACTTGGAATACTAACTCTCAATTACAGGACATCTCACAGGCAGCTCCAATCTTATGGAACAGCCTGCCTTCCCCACCAGACTCTGACCTGCTGATTAATCCTTCAAAAAGTCCCCTAAACCTCACCTCTCCAGAATAGCCTATGGCATTAAAGTATAACTGCCATCCCTCAAACCTATATCCTACTCTTCAAACTTAATTAGAGGGTCCACTTTCTACTTCTCACCAACCTACTTATCCACCCTGTCTCTTGGTTACCATCCCATACACAGATCTTCCTATTGTATTTTATACTCTATCTCCTTTAGATTGCAAGGTTGTTTGAACAAGGTCCTCATCAACCTAACATTCCTTTCAAAATTCTTTAAGAGTTTGTCTCATTCATTTGATGTTAAATCCCCCCCACCACCACCTTTTCCTTTATGGTATTGCAAAGCTCTGTGAGATACATTGGTGCTATATAAATGCTAATAATAATAATAATAATAGTAATAATAGAATAATTACAGATGACTTACCAGAAAACAAACAAGCTTTTTTAATGACGTTTGTAAAATATAATTGTCCTAAAAAACATGTAATTGATTCATTAAGCTTTAAATTGGTGCACATTGAAATCTGCATAGCAACATTTAGGCCAAATTAGCATATTTGGACAGATTTCCCAACTCTACTATAGTCACAGCTTGGCTATTTTAGATTAAATTTTGCCATTTGGACTTTTATTCCCTACAATTCTTAGTTTAATGAATAGTCCTATATGTAATGTAAAGGAAAGAATAAATTTTCACAGTAAAAGCATTTTGGTTATTGATGTAAAAAAACTGCACCAGCAATTTCTAAAATAAATCAATGCACTCGTGTCTAAGCTGAGAGACATTATTCTGTCCTTGTATTCTGTTTGCTCAAAGCATTTGCTGATCTGTTGCTAGTACACATTAGTAGCATTAAAAAAGAGACAGTTTTCATAATTGTGTCTTCACAAAAACCTTGTTGTCAATTGAATGAAAGCATTCTTTTTTTAACATGGTATGCAAATACGATTTAGAAAAAGGTGGAGGGAAAAGGGGGATTGTAAGAGCCCAGACTGGAATCATGCTTTTATTCACATCATTAGAGAATTCTTTGGGGGATTGGGATGGTTCATATACAACTTCTGAAAAGCAAGACTTTACATAATGATTGTGCATGGTGAAACACGTGAAACTGACCCTATAAAAGGGAGTGTTTTTACTCCCAGTGTCTGAGAAGGGAAAGCACAAGACATTTCAGTATACTACGGATACCTCATTGCAAATATGGTAACCTCTTACCCTGTTCCAGAGGGATTCACAGAGATTGAGGTATTTGGCATTGGTACAACGTTACTGGTTGAAGGTAAGGAATGTCTTTATATCCACAAGATCCTGACGTTTTATAAAAGAAGGGTGTTATTTACAAGCCGGTCAGAACTGCTCAGATTCCAGATGCAACAGGCAGCTCGATTAAAAAAAATGATATCAAACAGCCAATATTAGCTCTGCTAAAATGAATTTTGTTTAAAACAGGTATTTATATCATATGCAGAGATTCTGAAGCACTTGGATAACTACTATAGTGTATTTTTGATTTATAGCCTACAAACAATTGTAGACATATAATATCAATCTGGTAGAATTCTATAATCAATCTGCAGTGACGTCGTTTAGAATGCATTCATTTATCAGTGCATAAAGGCATGGCTATTAATCGCTTAAGAATCAATAATGGTATACACGCTATCATAAAAAGCTGTTTTTTGAGAAGCCTGTTATAAGATGTAATGACTAAATAAGCAGGGCACACTGCATTTTGCATATGTTATGCAAATATCAGATTGGAATTACAGTGAAGTGTCAAATGTGGTCGTTAATGTATTAAACATATATCTAATTCCAATAAAGTCAGTGTTTTCTAATGTTTTTGTAACATCTCAGTATGGTGCAAGCGAAGAGCTTGTTCAAACCGCAGGTTGCAGGTTATATTCCCGGCAGGGTCATCTCAAATATTCCCTCTTCTCAGGTTGATGAAGTTAATTCCATTAATTCAAGTTAATAAATTAGTAATATTTTTAATCTGAGAATATGTGCTTAACACTTTTGGATGCTTAAAAAAGAAAAAAAATATTAACTGCATGTAAAAGATTTCTCAATAATGTTTGTTCCTTCTTATTTTTAATCATCAAAAGATGAAACTAAGAATTGTCAAAGCAAATCTTTGAAAATGAGTGGTTAGAAATTCAGTGAAAGCATGTCTCATTTGAAACAGTATATAATACTTCAGCATGTATTTCTATACTGATGACATACAACATGCTAAAAAGGTTTGTGAACATAGCTATGATATACAGGGTTATTCACTAAACTATTCAGAAAATAATTAGGTGAAAATGACTGAATTCCAACCGCATTGGCACTTCGCAGATTTATGAAAGCCTAATATGTGGTCAGGATTTGGTTGGTATGACCAGTTTCTGTATCATTCATTCCGAAAATTCAGAAACTTTGTAATATTCACATGTCAACTAATATAAATCATAGGAATCACACATTTAGTAACTGTCGCATGGCAACCGAATAAAAAAATGAACGCATTCACCAACATCTGGATTCGAAAATTATTGTTCACTTGCAAGTGAATTGATCATTTGAAGAACTATTTGCCCGCTGGCTGAGCTAACAACAAGCTGGAAAGTACTTAAAAAAAATTAAAAATTTGACGATGCAAGGATTAATTATGTGGAGGCTAGCATTACAAGATTACATTATAAGAAGGTCCCATCCCAAGGTGGTAGGGCCTGTGAATTAAGAAGGGGACAAAGTCACCCTGTTCTCTAACCCAGGAGCATCAAGTGGGGTACATTTTAAAAAAGTAATAGGGTGCAGAGCACCCTGACCCCACCCACAGTCCGTGAGTGTGGATATTTAATTTTTAAAAAATGGGGGTAACATGCTGATGTACCACCCATTAGTGGTCAGTGGATTATGGCTTTCAAATATTCATAGGGAAGGAACTTATGTCTACCCGTAGTCCCGCTCACTGGTGATGGGTGGGGGTACTTCTAATAATAATCAAGGACAACATAGAACCCTCCAGCCCTCATCCATTGGAGGGTGCCCTTATTGATTATACAGTGGGCGTGTGGACATGCAATTGTCCACCTCCCAAATAGTAGTATGCCCCGTTCATCCCCCCAATTTCCTAGCCACCCCAAATAGAAATAAATAACCCTACCCACCCATCAATCACTCTAATAATAATGAAGGGGCAATTAATCTAATAACTGTGAAAAAATATCAAAGGTCTCCTTTATTCTAAATCATTTTTATCTTCAGCCCCTAAAAAACCATATAAAAATCCATTATGTGAGATTGCAAATTAAAAAAAAACAATGTAATAAAATGAATCCATCTTCACTCATGGAGGGCTCGCCGCAGACTAAACTCAGATATTGAGGAAAGTCCTTATATGGTCTTTTCCATGCTATATCAGTTTTGCAATAAGAGTGCTCTGACAGCCAAGTCTTGGGCCTTTTCTAGAGACTGGGCAACAATCCTTTAAACTTCTAGCAGACACGCCCCTACCTGCAATATGGCAGGTGGGATATATGAAGGTTTAAAACCCCCATTATAGTAATATGGGGGTCTTATTTACCCCATTTTCAATGTGACGGCTGTGACCCTAGCACGAGGATTTTTACCATTTGCTCATTGGCTAATAGCGCTGCAAGCGGGCAAACAGTTATGATTTTTTATTAAAATCAGGGTACTGATTAGAAGCCTCAGGCCCTGATTTCAGCTGTCCAACGGCCTTTATTCTGGCTTAAATTGAGACCATATTTAGGCCCATTCGAGGCCTGACTTATAAAATTTAGACATTGCTCAATTGCATATATGTTTTTCTATAATATCGTGATGCAGCATAATAACTATCCCACTTACCAAATAATGACAGACAACATAGTATGGATGAAACAGGCCACAGCATTTATTATAACATATAATAAATACTGTATAACACATCCATAATTTATTTTAATCTTTATCTTTACTTGATATAAACCAAACATCAAACATAAATAACCATAAGTTAAAGAGATTAACATATAGTGTCATACAGTGTAACCAAGCCGTCCTTGCCAATATACTGACCATGAGCCTATGCACCACTTCTTCTCACCTCCCCCTCTGCATAAATTCCTTTTTCATCCCAATGCTTACCACCAGCCAACCTTCTTCCTCGCTCGGTGGGCACGTTCAAACAGGTAACCTAAGGTTAACCCTTTAGAGAAGGGAGGTGGTTGAGACCTGCAACTTGACCACCTCATTCCACATCTTGACATAACCAAAAAAATAAATAAATAAATACATTTAACTTGGATATGCCTACATCAGGAAACTGTGATTTACATATTAAGGAGAAACTTATGAAGGCAAATTCTTAAAAGCAGGACCAGATTAAGGGCATCATGGCCCTGGAGCTGAAAGTTTTGATGGGCCTAATTATATGAGTATATTAAAGGAACACTTCAAGCACCATAACTACTACAAAGCACTTTGGTGGTTATGGTGGCTTGTCGTCCTCATTGTAAGTGATCAAACTGTTTTAGGATGATTTTAATTCTTACCTAGGCTTTGCTAGATGCTGTCCCCCAACTTCACTACTTCAGACCCGGCTTGTTTAGTTGCATCCATTAGTTACGCTATGCATAGAAACATGGAATGTAACGGCAGATAAGAACCAATCGGTCCATCTAGTCTGCCCAATTTTCTAAATACTTTCATTAGACCCTGGTCTTATCTTATAGTTAGGATAGCCTTATGCCTATCCCACGCATGCTTAAACTAAGTGAAGGGTTGCAGTGAAGGGTTAGCACATTGGCTGTGAGTGTCAACTATCTGTTCACAGCCAAGGGGCTTAGCCATGCAGTGCAGGTTCCCTGGCTTCTGGCTCCCTAGTTCAGGTAATGAAGGTAGGAGCAGACCCATACCTTCCAACATTTCAAATAGACAAATAAGGACATTGGAACACTTTATTTTTAGGCTTGTCAGCGGGGGGGGGGGAGGAGGGAGGGGGGGTGTCCGGGGCAAGGTTGTTATCAGACATTATAAAAAGTGACTTACTAATAACTGTAAGTTGCAGACATATTCAAAAATATACCCAAGTGCCTATATAAATGATCAATTGTGGGCAAATATGAACACATAATTGGATTCACATACACTGATTAGCCATAACCTTAAAACCAAAGACATATGGATGGGATATATTAGGCAGTAAATGAACAGCCAGTACTTGAATTTCATGTGTCGACTTTGACCAGGGCCAAAAAGTGATGACTAGATGACTGGGTCAGAGTATCTCCAAAGAGGCAGGTTTTGTGGGGTGTTTCCAGAATGCAGTGGTTAGTATCTACTAAAAGTGGTGCAAGAAAGGACAACTGGTGAATTGGCATCAAGATCATGGGCACCCAAAAGGGCAATGATGCATGTGAGGGGCGACGGCTGTTTGCTCAAATTGCTGAAAAACATAGTGTTGGCCATGATAGAAAGGTGTCAGAACGCACAGAGCATTGCAGTGTGCTGTGTATGGGGCTGCATAGCTGCAGACCAGTCAGCGTGCCCATCGCACTATGCGAAGAAGACTTGCCAGTGGAGGCAGTGTTATGCTCTTGGCAACGTTCTGCTGGGGAACCTTGGTTCCTGGCATTCATGTGTGTGTTAATGTGACATGGACCACCTAACTGTTGCAGACCACATACACCCCTTTATGGCGCTGGTGTTCCCTGATGGAAGGGGCCTCTTTCAGAAGAATAATGCACCCTGCCACACTGCAAATTGTTCAGGAATGGTTTGAGGAACATGATAAAGCGTTCAAGGTGCAGCGTTGGCCTCCAAATTCCAGATCTCAATTTGATTGAACATGTGTGGAATGTGCTGGGACAACGAATCCCATCCATGGTGACCCCACTTTGCCACCCGCAGACCTTGCAGGACTGCTAATGTCTTGGTGCCAGATACCACAGGACATATTCAGAGGTCTTGTGGAGTCCATGTCTCAATGTGCCAGAGCTGTTTTGGAAGCATGGGGGGACAACTACATGTTGTTAAGCAGTTTTGACTGGTCAGGTTAGTGGATAGATCAGTCGTATATTTCACCTAGTGGTGGAACTACTGCCTGTGCAGCAGGTGCATTGCTGAGCAGGGGCCCGATTGTTAACCGCAAGACCAGGCCCCTTTCACATTGGCAATACCGGGAGCAACTCAGAGCATGTAGGAAGGAGTAAGACATATGCCAACGGTGGACTTAACTCAACTCAGAAACTTAATCTCTGAAACTAGTGTTTTCATTACAGGGTTATACAGTCAAGGGCACTGCATCCAGATCACTTCAGTGACATTAAGTGGTCTGGGTGCGAGTAGCATCCCCTTAAAGGTACACAACAAACAGTTTAGCTTTGAATTTAATTTATAAGACATTAATAATAAATCACCACCATTAAATCATGTTGTTTTTTTTTACTGTAGTTTCATGGAATGCCAAATGATTAAATCTACTGTTCTTCTGTGCCACATTGTTGTTTTTGTTCTACATTACATTTTAATTGTATAAATTAGTAAGTCCCCTAAAATTTCTCAGAACAGCCCAACCCCTGACTTCACCCAATCACACCCCTAAAATTAAAGTATTCCTCTTAGTCTAAATCAAATGAAAACATTTTGTATAGCACATTTATACATATTTACATTAATATAATTGCCATTATTACAACTTCACACTAACAGGTCAATGTCAGTATGGACTTCTCTATCACATCCTAACAACTTCCATAGTCATTTGTCTTGGGAGATTGAACATATTTTCCCCAATGTTTCTGGACCTTCTAAAATATAGCAGATCTGGAGGAAATGTGGAGAAAATAAATAGGTTAGAATAAAAAAATAAAAAATAAAAAAAAAGCGAATTCATTTTATGAAAATTTAATTTAAAGAAACTATTGATCTTTCTATACACTCATACTCTCCTTAAAGGACCACTATAGTGCCAGGAAAGGGGAAAGGGGTTAAACTTACCTTTTTTCCAGCACTGGGCGGGGAGCTCTCCTCTTCCGATCCTCCTCCTCTCCGCCCATTCGGGTGAATGCGCATGCGCGGCAAGAGCTGCGCGCGCATTCAGCCGGTCGCATAGGAAAGCATTTGCAATATACATATACAATTTTTACAATTTCATACAAAAAAAAAATATGCAACAAAATTTTCCAGCTCAGGTATCTCAAGTCTTTCAAAGCCCTTATCAGGTCCACACAGCCCCTGTCAAATAAACCCAAAAGTGTTAAATGGATAAAACCACCAAAACAGAAATGCTGAACTTTAATTTAAATGGAGAAATTTAACTTCCCTGAAAATTACACATAAAACATTGAAGCATTACATGGAAAATCTAGATCTTGTCTTAATCCTTTTTCAAGAGTTGTCTCTTTTAAAAGTGTAAATAAGATTTAGCATCCGGTTCAATCCAGTTCAGTCTTGGCACAGTCAGGGCACACATGAAATTGAAGAAGAAAGAGAAAGATAAACACTGGGAGCAGTTTATCAAACTGTTCTGAAAATTGTCTTTTCGGTTTTGCCTTTCTAATCTATTTATATTTAACGATTTATTAAATTATTCTAAAATAATGTGGCTTTCCTAAATCAGGCAATTTTTTTTTTACAAAGGTGTCTATTTTGGAAAATATCACCAAACGTAAAATAGCAAATAGAATAGAAGTGAGACAGAATACTTTAATGGTTGAAAGATTATTAAGACATTTGCATCTAAAAAAAAAGGCATATATTCAAAAATAACAAGAAGCAACAAAAGGATTTAATAAAATGTACCAAAAAAAAAGGGGTTCAAAACTGTCTGACACACTTTGATAAATCTCACCTTTTGTTTGTTTCTCTACTGGCAATTACATTCAATGACAGAATAGACAGATTATAACAATGATTGACAGGGAGACAAAAAGGATATGCTGTGTTCAAGGATAGATGCAAATAACTTTAATCTTATTCTTCAGACCTCATATACACATATTTGTTATATTGGAGTTTAATAACCATAACTTTAAAAATCCTGAGAAGTGACAATTGTCACGTTCAATCAATCGGATGCTTCTCAGAGAGAATCAGTGAAACCAATGCTTCTATATAAGAAGCATTCAAAGTGTTTGGCAATGATGAAAAGGCAGTGTTTACAATTTGCAATACTGCGGCAACATGGTATTTACACCAAAATCACTACGGCATTAGTTTTGGTGCTTAGAATATCCCATTAAATACAAATATCTAATATTTAACTTTTCCATTTTCCATTTATATCCACAGCTCTTCTTGGACTCCTGTTGAACGGTCTGACAATTCTTTCTTTCTACAAAGTCCGAGAACTCAGAACGCCCAGTAACTTGTTGATTATAAGCCTTGCAGTGGCAGACATCGCCCTAAGTATTAATGCTTTCGTTGCTGCCTTTTCCAGTTTTTTGAGGTATAAAAATGTGTTTACCCAAAAAAAAGAGAAGGGTCAATCTAACAAATAGAATAACTGACCTGAAATTAATGAGACAGATGTAGGTTTAAAGCAAATACAGTCTAGAGAATAGAGTTTGCTGTAATGTGTATTTGCCTAGGATAGCTAAGGATTTGCCTAGGATAGCTAAGGATGTCAAAGATACAACTCCATTTGTTACAGAACTTCATTAGCATTATGAGCATTCCAATTCTTCACACTACACCCTCTGATAATACGGATAAATAGTTCTTATAAGATGTGTACATAAACATACCTATATTTTGTGTAGAACAAACATTTTTAGATTAATTCTAAGTACAGGCAGTTAGCTAAGCAGACATTTTCCATGTATAATGCAAGTGGATATGGGCATCATTGCTTACATCAGTGGATCATCATATCTATGTAACAATGTCCACAACAATGTCCACAACAAGCTATCCATGTCTGAAGGTCTCTTGCATGGGAAAAGGACCTGTGTCACGCGCAGTGCTGTGTTTGCTTTTGACTTTTCTCTGGTGTCTCTATAAGGATACCACAGGACAGAAAGGCCAGGAGGGAGTACTTTGCATGCACTTGGTGACTAATTATGGTATTGAGTATGTTTCGAGGGAGCTTTATGTGGTGTGGTGTGGTATTTTGTGTGAATAAGTTGGTTGCAGTTGTGTTGTGTGTCTATTGGTTGTAGAGAGTGAGAGAGTGTATATGTGCTGTAGGGGGGATGTAGCGAGCGTGTTCATAGCGGCTGCAGTGTAGGAAGATGTAGTGAATGTGTAGGGACTGTAAAGAGTAAGCGTGTGCAAGGGCTCCTCCTCCCTTCCTATTACCTTTTGGCATGGAGGGGGGGTCAGCTCCACCAGGTGCAGGTCAAGATCCCTGTTCTTACACACTCTGTCACTGTTCTGTGTTGGAGCATTTCTATAAGACTCAGACTGCCCATCAGGCAAACCATGCATACGCTGAGCCGTGATGACCAGGGGAGATTAAAGGATCATGCTTCATATATTCATATTCCTTTTGTGTGTTCCGTAATTCAGAGTGTTCCCGCGAGATACCATGGCAATTCTCCGACACAGAACAGTGCCAGTGCTCAGAAGAATAGGGATCTTGGTCTGCACCCAGTGGAGGTGCAGGTCTAGAGACACCAGTCATCACTGGACAACCCGGGCTTTCACTGCCCCTCTTTCCTGCCCAAAGGCAATATGAATCGAGGTGGGCATGTGAAATATTTTTCTCCATTCATAATTAAACTGCACCCTTCCCCCCCTCACACACACACACACACACACACACACAGTACATCCCATATACACACTATGAATTATTATTTTATTATTTATATAGCGCCATCACATTCAGTAGCGCTATACAATGGGTGGACTAACAGACATGTAATTTTAACCAGACAATTGGACGTACAGAAACAGAGAGGTGAAGGGCCCTGCTCAATGAGCGTACATTCTCGAGGGAGTGGGGTATAGTAACACAAAGGGTAAAAGTAGGTTGTTAGAAAAGTATTCATTGAGGGCTTAGTTGGTAATTTTTGACAGTTGCAGGAGAGGAGTCATGGGGGATGGGGGATAAAAACCTGCTTACAGTTTAACTGATATGCTTTCTTGAAGAAGTGAGTTTTTAATGATTTTTTGAATGAGTGGAGACTGGGTGAAAGTCTTACGGAGAAGGGATGAATCCTTTACAAACACACTGGATACCCTACATACCCACACAGTATATCGGTGACACACAAAATAAATGCCATATACACACAGTCACTCTCTATAATGCCTACTCTACAGCTGCTATGCACACACTTACTACATCCCCACCACCGGACCTATCCACTCTCTACAGCCAATAGACATACATACTTCAGCCCCTTGCCACACAACACAACTGCAACCAACTTATTTACACAAAACACCACACCACAAACAGCTCTCTTTACACATATGCAATACCACAATTAGCCACCAAATGCATGAACAGTACTCTCTCCTGACCTTTTTGTTCTCTGGTATCCTAATCGAGACACTAGAGACAAGGCAAAAGCAAACACAGCACTGCACCTTACACAGGGTCTTTTCCTCATGCAAAGTTCTCCGCATGAGCTGCTTTAGAAGAGCATTTAACCAACATGCTCACTTTGAGGAGATAAGCATACTATTGGTGATGACACAACATGCCCACTCTCTGGCTCCACCCCCCTACCATTGGGACTCTCTGATTAGATAATGCCCGGGCCAAATTGTCTTCCCCAGTCTGGCTCTGTTTGCCTTTGTAGCCCACAGCAACACTCTGAATCACAGAGCTCGCAGAAGGAGTTCTCTGCACCTGGTGGAAGAACAGAGAGCTTCCTTGGTCATGCTGCTGAGCTCCCCACTGGGCTATCCATTAATCGTGGTTGGTGCCGGCTCTGCATGGGCAGGCAGGGGAGATCATTTGATCTGCCTTGCCAGCTTGCCCTGCTTAGGGATGTATAATTAGTTATAATCACATAACTTGGATTATCTCATATTAATACAGATTAAATTTTATTGCTAGGGTGCACCAAAAGTCTCTTTCTTTTTTATAGATACTGGCCTTATGGCTCTGAAGGTTGTCAGATTCATGGATTTCAGGGATTCGTGGCTGCTCTGTCCAGTATTAGCTCATGTGCCGCGATAGCCTGGGATCGGTATCACCAATATTGTACACGTAAGTGCATTATACTGTTCTGACATGTAACATTACACAACATACTGTAACATAAACGTGCTTAGATTTTGCAAATTTTTCCACGGTCAACAAAAATAACAAATTGAGCATATAAAGGGATTGTTTAAAGATTGTTTTTAAAAACAAAGATTTTAATGTACAAAAATATGTATTATTTCAGATACCAGACAGCGGTCCCAAGAAAGCAAAGTTCATTAAACTTTAACCCCTTAAGGACACATGACATGTGTGACATGTCATGATTCCCTTTTATTCCTTAAGTTTGGTCCTTAAGAGGTTAAGCTACCCAATGCATATTTTAGCCCTGGCTGCAAGTCATTATGCACCAGACTGACACTCACTAACATGACAGGAGACACAGGCCAGTGTGAAACTTAATCCCCATACTTGTTTGATGAGAGGTGATTTTAAGTAGCCATATAGAATTTAGAAATGTATTTGTGCTCTGTTCCTTAATCTATATTATGTAGGAATTTCGATCACTACGGCTGCACCATTCCTGCAAGATACACGTGTGCCCATAATTCCTTTTGTCTTTCCTTCAGAGCCCTAATGGCATTATTTTTCCATAAAACACAAATGCACTCTTCAGGTTTATTCATTGTCTTTCTCTATCACCCGTGTTTTACTTTTCTTCATGATAAATAGGTTTATAAAAACTGATATGAGTCATACACAACTTTAGGTCCGCACGAATTGATCACATTTTTTTCACATTCAAAATGAGCTGAAATCTGTAGAGGAAGGACAATATTCTACTCCTTGCGATCATATCTCTTATTCTTCTATATTCGGACTAATTTGAACACACATCTAATTGTGTAGAATGAAGACCAGCTATGGGCAGTAAATGCATGACTTTTTGGCCTTTGTTAATAGTGGACACATTTTGGTTATTTAATATTTAATTGTGTCATTGCAGGAAGCAAGTTGCACTGGAGCACAGCAATCTCAGTCATTATGTTCCTCTGGGGGTTTTCAGCCTTTTGGTCTGTCATGCCATTGCTTGGTTGGGGGGAATATGATTATGAACCTTTAAGAACCTGCTGCACATTGGACTACTCAAAAGCAGACCGGTAAGTCGAATTCAAATTATCCGTATGAATCACCTGTAATGAAGTTATTGTAATCAGATGCGGTTTTCCCTAAATTGAAAAAAATGTTGTATAATACCTGCTACTAATGATACTACAAGATTTATGTATTACAGCAAACACGCAAAGTGAACAGCATAACAAAAAAAAAAATTATATACCGGGATATATATATATATATTTATATTATATTTTTTTACTTATAAAATATTTTACCAGGAAAGATATATTGAGATTTCTCTAGTTTTCAAGTATGTCCTGGGTCCACAAAATATGGCATTGATACAACAGGGTACAATAAAATACAAAAACAATATCAATACACAATATATATAAAATTTAACATGGAACAGGTAGGAAATATATTATTAACCATGACAGGTGCATTCTGTTTTGTGGTATGTAGAGAGGAAACTCTTAAAGAACTCTAGGCCTGGGGAAGATTTGAAAGTGTGCGGTGGGTTGTTGCATAATTCCGGTGCTCTGTAGGAAAAGGAGGATCGAGCAGCTTTCTTTTTGTATTGAGGTAGACTAAATAAAGTGCTGGTACTGGATCGGAGGTTAAAGCATTCTGCTCAGGTAGGGTGGGAGCTTCCCAGAAAAGCTCTTAAACACAAGGCTGGAAAGATGAAGGGTGTGTCTTGATTCCAGTGATAGACAGTTTAGTTTTTTTTTTTTAGCATGTCATAATAGTGGGTCATGTAATTACATTGTAGCACAAAGCCGCAGAACGAGTTATACAAGGTATTAAGTTTATTAAGGTGGGTTTGCTGTGCAGGTGTATATACTCATAATCAATGATTGGCATCAGCATTTGCTGTACAATCTTTTCCTTTACTGTAGGGCTTAGGCAGGATTTGTTTCTGTACAGGGCACCTAGTTTTGGATAAAGTTTAGATGCAAGCTTTTCTATGTGCAGGCCAAAAGATAGATTGGGGTCTAACATCATACCCAAGTATTTGAAAGAGTGGACTGCGGTCAGTGTGCCATTTGAATTTGTTTTGATGGATAGGTGGGAATTGTGTAATTTGTGTAATTTAGGTACTGTTCCAAAGATCATTGTGACAGTTTTGTCAGTGTTTAGGAAGAGTTTGTTTTTTTTGTGATCCACTTTTTTACCTCTGTGAACTGGTTTTGTAGCACAGCCTCAAGCTGCAGTAGATTGAATTTGCTTGCATAGATTACTGTGTCGTCTGCGTACATGTGTACATTTGAGGATTTGCAGACATGAGGCAGATCATTTATACATGGAATTCAAAGTTGAGTTGTGATACAGGGGTTAAAGCGACATGAGTGCAGATAAGACACAGGTTTGATAGAAAATAGACAACATTCTTGCAGAGGAACATTCATGAATATCTTTCTGAAGATCAGAGTGAGTACACCCCTCACATTTTTGTAAATATTTTATTATATCTTTTCATGTGACAACACTGAAGAAATGACACTGCTACAATGTAAAGTAGTAAGTGTACAGCCTGTATAACAGTGTAAATTTGCTGTCCCCTCAAAATAACTAAACACACAGCCATTAATGTCTAAACTGTTGGCAACAAAAGTGTGTACACCCCTAAGTGGAAATGTCCATATTGGGCCAAAAGTGTCAATATTTTGTGTGGCCACCATTATTTTCTAGCACTGCCTTAACCCTTAATGGGCATGGAGTTCACCAAGGCTTCCCAGGTTGCCACTGGAGTCCTCTTCCACTCCTTCATGAGGACATCTTGGAGCTGGTGTATATTAGAGACCTTGCGCTATCCCACCTTCCGTTTGAGGATGCCCCACTGATGCTCAATAGGGTTTAGGTCTGGAGACATGCTTGGCCAGTCCATCACCTTTACCTTCAGCTTCTTTAGCAAGGCAGTGGTCGTCTTGGAGGTGTGTTTGGGGTCGTTATGTTGGAATACTGCCCTGCGGCCCAGTCTTCAAAGGGTCACAGTACATGTTGGCATGCATGGTTCCCTCAATAAACTGTAGCTCCACATTGCTGGCAGCACTCATGCAGGCCCAAACCATGACACACCCACAACCATGCTTGACTATAGGCAAGACCCACTTGTCTTTGTACTCCTCACCTGGTTGCCGCCATGCATGCTTGACACCATCTGAACCAAAGACAGCAAATTTACAATGTTATACAGGCTGTACACTTACTTTACATTGTAGCAGAGTGTAATTTCTTCAGTGTTGTCAGATGAAAAAATATAATAAAATACTTACAAAAATGTGAGGGGTGTACTCACATTTGTGAGATACTGCATATATATATATATATATATATATATATATATATACATATACATATACATATATATATATATTTATATTTATATATATATATAATCATACTTTCCAAAACCCCATATAACATGGGAGTTACTGTTGTACTCGTGAGACATCGCTGAACACAAATATGGGTGTTTAACAGCAGTAAGAAGCATAATGGCAATGATGTCATCAGTGAAAGTGCATTGTTTATTTGTGTGATACAAATATGAACATTAACATTGGCCAGGGTTTGGGACTAAGTGACTACTAAAAATTCCCCATTTTGAATACCCTGGGTTATCTACTTTTAAAAATAGTCTCATGATCTGCCAAATGGTTTTAAAGGCAACATCCCCAACCGGCCTTCTTGGCTGAGATCATCAAAATTGATGATCTCAGCCAATCCAATGCTTTCCCATAGGAAAGCATTTGGAGGCTATTTTGCATGTGCGGCAAAACACTGTGCTGGCCAATCAGCTTCTCCTCCTAGAGATGTATTGACTCAATGCATTTCTATGGGGAAAGTTCAGCGCCTCCATGCGGAACTTGGTGTGGCTGAATGCCAGTGCTGCACAACCCAGGTAGCACCTCTAGTGGCCATCTGAGTGACTGCCAGTGGAGGTGTCCCTAGGGAGCAATGTAAATACTTGATCATTTGATCGGTGAATAAAATCAAACATTTATAGGCTGTCCAATAACCATCAATCATCTGTTTTTTGCTACCTCTTGATTGGACAGGAGATCTAGCCCACATAAGTGGACAGACCTCTTGTCCATCATGGGAATTTGAGCTGCTTTTAAGCCCCCATCTAATGCAAGTAAGATACCCTGAGATTCTGGCACATGTTATTGTTGTGTAATGACATTTTACAATGTTTTATTTGATATATATTTTTAAACTTAAAGGGATACTACAGTGCCAGGAATACAAAGCTGTGTATGGGGAAATAGCTGACATTGGATGTCCTAATGCAGAGCATGAGGACCTCAAGCATCAGATACCGGACCAAACGTCCGTTTCAATCCAGGAACCCTCTAGTGGCAGTCTGGTAGACAGCACTGGAGGCAGACTTAGTGCTGCAATGTAAACATTGCAGTTTTTATGGAACTGCAATGTATCACATTGCAGAACTAAGTAAAAAAAAAAAGGGACACTGCACCCAGACCACTTTAATGTCATTTTAATACCAGGACAAAAAAAGCAGAAACAGGAATTTGTTTTCCAATTACTTTATGGAGATCGGTCAGTGCAGACTATTATGTCCATCTTATTAGTCCGTTCCTGTGCATTTTAAGATGTGCTTTAATGTATTACTTTAACAACATTGTTCTGTACATCTTGGTGTCTTTGGGGAAATTAATCTGAGCAAAAGGAAAATAGGAATTTGTACAGAGAAAGAAAAAATAAAGTGGTGTTTTTGAAAATATGTCTTCAATTTCTTTTTAAAATTTCAACAGAAATTTCATCTCATTCCTTTTCCCGCTGGCTTTTTTTGAATACCTAATTCCACTGTTCATTATTATAACCGCTTACCAGTCGATACATCAGAAGATGAAGAAAAGTGGACAGTTTAAGGTAATCCACTAATGCAAGTTTACTGCATTTCTCAATTATTGACGACGTAAAGAAATCATTGGGGGATCTCTACATAATCCTCTGTTCAATGCTTACTGAATAGAATTAATTGTTTCCACCGTGAAACTATTAAGCATTTGAATTTATGCTGATTCAATATTTTGGACAATTATAGAACTTGTTCTGTGAGGCATTTATAATGCTTTTACTGTGGTTTTCAACATATTTGAATTCTCGATATGTCTTAGAAGTCTGCAGAATGTTGCCAGCTGGTCTGCTCAAAGGCCCATGATACAATGCACTCATGTAAACAGACATCTGAGGATAGTAAGATCTTCAAAACAAAGTTCGAGACTTTTGGTGGAAAAATAGAAATGAGTAATAGAAAACAGTTGCACATTTTAATTGCTTAGTGCTTGAGTTATATATATATATATAATTAAGTTATATACCTTCCTCTGGAGAGGACTTTAACATATGATAATTGTATGAAACCTTTATTTTTTTTGCTCATCCATTGTATAAATTCTTTTTGTGAAACAACATTTATGTTCTCAGTGCCTTACATGTTTTTTCCTTAGTTTAACACAGGTTTACCCATGAAGGCATTGGCTATCTGCTGGGGTCCATATTCTTTGCTGTGTTTTTATGCTATAATTCAAGATGCTACTATCCTCTCTCCAAAACTGCGCATGGTAAGAACGATTGGACTACAGAATACTAAAAGCAATTATTGAATTGACAGACTGTGTAGGGCGTGTATTAAATATAATAGTAATGTTTAAATTAAAACTACATCCATCCTGATTTAAAGGACCACTATAGTGCCAGGAAAACAAACTCGTTTTCCTGGCACTATATAGTCCTTAGGGCGCCCCGTCAGCCACTAACCTTAATCCAGCGCCGGGCTCCCTCGGCGCTGGGGAACTCTCCTCCCTCTGCTGACGTCAGCTCCCGAGTGGACCGAATGCGCATGTGTGGCCAGAGCCGCGTGCACATTCAAACCGCCCATATGAAAGCATTACTCAATGCTTTCCTATGAACGTTCTGCGTGCTCAATGCGATTTTCGCATTGAGCGTTGCGGAAGCGCCTCTAGTGGCTGTCAGGGAGACAGCCAGTAGAGACTGGATTAACCCTGCAATGTAAACATAGCAGTTTCAGAAACTGCTATGTTTACAGCTGCAGGGGTAAAACTAGAGGGACCTGGCACCCAGACCACTTCATTGAGCTGAAGTGGTCTGGGTGACTATAGTGATCCTTTAATTTATCTCTCACTTTTTTGGAAACTCTGAGCATTATAGCTTGAGGATGGCTGACAGAAAGATTATTTCTAAGTGGGTGAGTAGCTTCACACACTGTCACTGACAGACACACTCTTGCCGTCAGAAACACACTAACCAAAAGACATGCACACACACACACACACACACACACAGAAGCACACTCACTGACAGACTTACACAAACACACACACTGACAGACATACACACTCACACATTCTTGCACACTCAAATTTATTTTATTTTTTGAGGCCCATTTAGCCTCCCTTCCTCACTCTGGGATGCAGTGTGGGGTTGTAGTCTTGCAGTTCCACACATCTCCAATGAGCGATTTTGTACACTGGAGTCGGAATGATGCCGGTGTTCTGTTAGAACATTGGCTCCCTGCATCTTCCCCCCCTTCCTCTGGCATATATCGGCAGAGTAAACACCTGCCACCCATTAGCATCATATCCATTCAGCGCCCCCACCTTCGGGCACCTGAGCGCGGTGCACCCTGTGCAATATCCCAGGATTGGCCCTGGGTATATCTAAAAACAAAGAATGTACATCTCTTGACTGCCGCCCCTCCTAACCCAGCCTAAACTTTCGGCTTAATGAAAAGTCTTTACGAGGAAGGTTCTCTGAGCAATTTCTGTCTCCGGAGTTCAGCTCCACTGAGCTAAGCAACCAGGAAATAACAAAACGTGTAACAATGTTATTTCATAAAAAAGTGTCAATTAAAATTTGCACTTTTTGTAAAATAAAAAATAAATAAAAATAGGACATACTCCACACATTAAGCACATCAGCATACCTTCCAACATTTCAAATGGAAAAAGAGGGATACTTTCATTTTAGTGTGAGTGGGTGTGATCAGAGGCAGCTGTTTCTTAGCTGTTCTGAGAAGTTTTAAGTGAATTTCTAATCATTTATGCAACTAAGATGGAATTAAGAACAAGAACAATGTATCATTTTAACACAGTCTGATTTCTAAACACATTTACTGTTGTTTTAAGACACATTACAGTGAGTATTATTGCTGTGGATTCCTTTTATACACAGACACACCAATAATATGGAGCTTTTTGAAAAGATGTACATTAGGATAGAAAAGAGGGAAAGAGGAATTCTGGCCCAAAATAGGGACTGCCCCACGTAAATAGAGACACTTGAGAGGTATTCTTTAGAAAGCTAAATTGTTTTAGGGCTCGGGAGTGTCCTTTTAATATATGTGTTGTACATATCAATGCACCTAACCATGCAAATCACCCGCCCCTTTCACTAAAAAGCCAGTAGCTATACTTGAAATGTTACCTTGACTAGCTGCAGTGAGTCCTCTCGTTATCTCAGTGTCTGATTAACAGCAAGCAGCTTACTGAAAGTGTCAGTATTACATATTTGTGTGATACTATGTCTATGCTGACCCAGTACAGAGAAGCTCTGTGTCTATGAGTGAGGTAAAATGTATCTCTAAGTGAACGTTCAGCTCCTCCATGCATAGTGTGCAGCACTGACACAGGAAGCACCTCTAGTGTTGTTAATATTAAAGAACAGAGATTTTTTTTTTTTATTAGAGCTGTGAGTGATTCATTTATAATTCTAAAATAATGTATCATTTCATGTATTACATTCCCTACTTAATTTCACTTTTTGATGATCAGATCAGATTTTAAGTTCACTTGGACTATTTAACACGTAGGCATATGCTACTGGTATGGTATTGCATGAGTTAAAGCAACACTCCTGGCCCCATAACAACTTAAGCAAAATTAAGTTGTTTTGTTGCCAGGAGGTCCCTGGAGCTGGCTGACCTTACTAAGTCAAACCATTCAGAAACTGTTTAACCTCAAAGTCTGTGTTCCAGTGACAAATCTCCCTGCCCTTCCATTTTCAAAATTTTCTAAAACAAAAAGCCCTTTGAGAAATCGGGCAGCGGTGCCGCTGATTAGCTGAAAATGGTAAACTGATGCTCTCAGCCAAATCCCTATTCTTAAAAACGGACTGGAAAAAGGTACGTTTCTTTTAAAGCCAGTTTTATGAATGGGGATTCACTGATTGGCTGAGAGCATAAGCTGTCCAATTCAACAAGAGCCTTTAGGTTTAGAGAATTTTTGAAAATGGAAATGCAGAGAAGTAGGAAGACTTGGTGCTGGAACAAAGATTTTGGGGGTTAAACCATTTAACTCCTTAAGGTGAGCCAGTGTTAAGAACCTTCTGGTACCATAACTTCATTTTGAAGACATTGCTACAGTGCCTAAACTGTCCCTTTAAATCTGCAGCTAAAAACACCCATTTTCATATAAAAGCATTATTGTCAGGAGTTAGGTTCCAGTGGTAATTGTACACATAACCTGCAATGTTCTATCCCAATACATTTTCAACCTGTCATTACTGGAAGCCGTGCAGTTAGCTAAGTTGCAGGGAGCATTTCTTCCGAGTGACACCTGGGAACCCTTAATTAATTTGTAATGGTTCCAGCTGTGACTCGTTCTCTGGCTTTAAAAGCTTGGCTCTCCATCTGTGACTATTTATTTTGCCTCTCAGTTTATACTTTGTCCCTTTTATTAAACCTATAAGACTGAAGCATCAATAATGTGATTTGAGAAATTGTATTAATTAATTACATGTTAAACATCAAAAACAGAGCTACCAATACATGCATAGTATTAAAGAGATACTCCAAATACATTAGTTTGCTAAAGAGCTTTATGTGTAAAAAGCTTGTTCTATTTTTTTAATTTTACAAAAAGTGCATTTTTAAATAGAAATGTAAAAAAATTAGACAATTGTTCATGTTACTTCCTGGTTGTTTAGCTTAGTGGTGCTAAACTGAAGTGTCAGAGCACTTGCCTTGCTAAGACTTTAAAAAGCTTGGGAAGTTCACAAGCTTTTTCCTTCTTCACCAGTCCAGACTTTCTGTGGGTGTCCAATCACAATATCTACAGACAGGAGATCTGCAGCTTTTGAAGGCTTTTTTTAGATATATATTGACATTTCTTTTTTTTTTTTTATTTGTTCAGTGTAGTGTCCCTTTAAGTTTGGAGGACCCATGTAGTGTGTCTGGGAACATTTCAAAAATAAACATTTCAGGGTCACACGCCTAATAGTAGTTAACCTGCTAATCAGTTACTGAATTTGAAGCTAAAACTGTTTAACAAATGAGCATTACCAGGAAATGTCGGATAATGACCCAATGTTGTCTTGGCATCACTAACATCGATGAGATGAAGTACTTGCCAATTGCTGTGGCACCATGTACCACCTCAACATTTTGCATTATCCATTGGTAAATATTTCCATACATAGGAGATATAGGTCTCTACCATTTGAATAGGCCAGTGTTGACTAACAAAGTGCAAATGGTTTAGTACCAAATTTAATGTCTTAAACTCAAATAGTTGAAAGGTAATGTTTGCTTAAAGGATCACAATCTCAATGAAGTGTGTTGCAGTTTTGTAGAAATGACAAATTGAAAGGTAAAGTACACCTCAAGTGTTATCTTCCTGACTGCTGCTAGAGGTGCTTCCACCTTCAGAACTGAGACAAACACATTCTCAATTACGGAAGACATCAGCAGGCATTTCTGAGGAAGCCTGATTGGTTGGGTGAAACATGTCACCTGTGACATCACCACACAGATATAGAGGACAGAAATGCAGAATTATAGTACAGGTGGGTGATCCAAAAGAGAAAGCTAAATGAGAGACTTGTTAAACAAACCAATAAAAAAAATTTAGGCTGCAGATCTTTATACTGAAGGTAAGCTTGTGGATTTAAAGCCATTACAGTCTCACCAACGTTTATTTAAGCATCTCCTTCAAAGGCCAGTCCATTCTCTTGAAGTATGGCTGAGGCAGGGGAGATTTCCATGGCTGGCTACTGCTGTGCTAGTGCTCTAATACAGGGCAGTAGGGGTTGCTCTGTGTGTGTATGGAGAGAGGCAAGGATAGGATAGCTAAGGATAGTTTCAGCATTTACCTGCATCTCTATACTCACTGATCCACGGGGGAGCATCTACAAAGCACAGAGAGTCCAGACAGCAGCTCCCAGCCTGCAGAGATAGCCTATAGCTCAGGGAAGTGAGGTATGGGGTAAAGGCTGCAGGGAGACATGGGGACACTGAGACACGGGGACACAGGGAGACCTCTGGGGATGCTGAGATACTTGGGAAAACAGACATGAGGACACAGACACTAGGGGACGCTAGGAGATATGGGGATACAGACACTTGGGGACACAGATACAAATGGGGACACTGAGACATGGGGAAAAAGACACACATGGACACTGAGACACTTGGGGACACAATGCCCCCCAAGTGTCTCAATGTCCCCATGTCTCCCTGCCAGTGTCCCTGGTGCCTTGGTGTCCCCATGTCTCCCAGTGACATGGGGCATAGACACTAGGGGACACTAGGGGAGTCCTTAGAAAGCATGAAGTGAGCGCGTCATTAGATGCATTTATGCCAAGCTTAGGATGCTGTTGGCCAGCATGCATGATTGGCAGGCAGTCTGAAATGCATTCATGCCAGGCTAGCCTTCCAATTCTTTGGGCAGACACGCCTCCTTTTTGGGCATGTTCGTCCCTTTCAGGAGTTCTGGTTACATAATCTGTGTCAGTGGCCCACCCTTTTACACCGCCAGGTGACTTCCTGCTTCACTGGACACTGCTGTTAGAGGGTATGGATTTACTTAAAATATGAAAGCATGAATTAGAGAGAGATTAGCATATTTTAAGAGAATCTGAGTTTTCATATAGCTGCATCCTCTGAGTGTCCCTCTGCCAATTGTCAGCACCAGGCCTACTGGGCTCTTAATCTGGCCCTGTGCCCACCAACTAAAGCCTTTTTTCCCCCTACTAGAGCCAGAGTGCAACACAACAAGCAGCACCACGAGCAGCCTCCACACATACACACACCCTCCCCTTGCTTTTTCCCACTTATCTGACCCCCTCGCTAGTCATATTCACCAATTAGTCATACCACAAATTAGCATATAAATGTATTTAAATTGAAAACTCTAAACTGTGCATCTACTTTGGGGCACCAAGGAGGGTAAATCAAGCCTAGCGCCGCTTGTATAAGATTTTAATGTCTGAATAAACGTTGCTACACCATATAGTGTTATTTTATTTTACATGCGGAGCTTCACCTTTCAAAAGAGATTTCTATATGGCGCCATGGGAAAGCATTGGATTGGCTGAGATCATCAATTCTGGGGTGGAACCAAATGTCGCACTGGTCAATCAGCATCTTCTCAGAGAGATGCATTGAATCAATGCATCTCTATGAGGAAAGTTCAGCGCCTGCAGGTTATAGACACCAAAACAACTACATTAAGCTGTAGTTGTTCTGGTGACTATAGTGTCCCTTTAAGATTTTGCTAAATATAATTGTTTGTACTCACTTGGGACTGCACAGCTTATTTTAAATGTTTCCCCTCTGATTTACGACTATGTCCTCTTGTTGTGGTAGTTTTTTTCTTTCTAGTGGTGTTTTACTCCACTATTTTGGTGGAAGCGTTATTAGTGGCTGTCAAAATGAAAAACATTGCCTTTCCTGTAGAACGACAATGTTTTCGGCTGCAGGGTTAAAACCCAGAGCAAGTGGTTCCCATCCCAGTCCTCAAGTACCCCCTAACAGTCAAGGATTTATGGACTAACGTGTTTTTAGAGAAAAATCTTTAGATACAACATGGTAATCGATAAATCTTGGACTGGTAGGAGGTACTTGAGGATTGGGTTTGGAACCCTTGCTTAAACTCAATCTTTCTAGGCGTTCATTGTATAAATAGTAGAAATGATGGGTATTTGCAAATTAAGTAATTTCGATTGAACAAAATTTGCAATCAAATAGTGGCCAATTCTGATGACGTATTATATGTTTTAAGCATTCAATTTGTTTTCAGAATTCAGATCGGGGCATTCGAACTTCAGTGAATAAACCCATTAGTTTTGCTTGGTTTAGCTTTCCCTTTTTGTTTAGTTGTCTTTTAACTAATTAACTCTCAGTCATCTTGATGTTTTATTATATCTCCCAAGCTTAACACAAACATTTAAAGAGACATATTGTTTATATATAACCATCTCCTTCTGAGATATCCCTTTTGCTTTCTATAGTCTTTTCGATATATTCTAGACTTTCTAGCAAAGGTTCCCAAGGCACACCAATGGTCCAGGTTTTGCCACTATGACCATTGGAACACAATATGATAATTCCTAAATCATGGACTGTTGGTATGTGAAGACTGGAGTGGGAACCAATGATTTAAAATATAAACTTGTTCTGCATCCTATATAAGGAATTTACCATAGTGGCCATAACATTAGTCATTTTTAAAGTAATACCATAAATAGAAAGATAATTAAATGGTCCAGAGTGTAATGCAGCACATTTTATTTAAAAAGCATTTTAAAAGAAGTTCTACATTAAACCATGATAAACCAAAGAAAATGATGGTAAAGTGTATCTCCATAACTACTCAACATTTCTGTTAGTACTGAGTCAGGAAACATTTTTTCCCCATGTAGTGAATCAACTGTTTTAGTTCACCAAGTGTTATAATGCAAACCAACATATTAGGATTGATTATTATTATGTTATTTATTGATTTTATCAATTGTTTCCATCGAGTTTCTTAAACAATGTATGAAAAATAATAAAGGGATGGAATGGATGGCATTCGCCAAATGGGCAGTGGTGCACTTATTTTGGTTCCCAGAACCATGACAGCAATCAAGATAGAAAAGCAAACGGGAGATTTGGTATACACAAACTCCCAGAACCCTCTAGCAAAGTTGCAGCCTCATTTAGGGCTCTTATTATGTCCTTACTGAATTGTATGAATTTTTTCTAAAAAAGAACGAAAATTGTCGAAACACAATTTTAAAAAAAATTTTTGCACAGTTTTGACCACTGGTGTATCCTAACTTTATACCTCCTTTATCAGATTCCTAAGTAATTTTGAGTTAAATGTAGTAAACTGTGATATATTCATTGAAATGCTCTTCCCCATTTAGATGTGTTGGCCTTTACTAAGAATGAATAGCACAATTTTATGCAGAATGGGTACATGCCAAGATAGATGTGTTAGCTAGCTATATCAGAACTGTTCCTAACTGGGCTCCTTGTTTAAATACATTTTAGAAGGTTTTAGAAGTTGGGTAGTGATCTCCGGAAAACCTTACCTGCCCATCTCTTTCACCCAGGACTGCCTCCATTTTGTACCATAGAGGGAGATCATGTAGCAAAGGCAATGAGAAAGCTCTGAGCTAGAGATTCTAATTATTTAGAGAACGGTGTTTTATATTTGCTTCACTTAAACCATACTGAGCCAGGTGAATATGTTTATATCTTTGCAGATGCCAGCTGTTTTAGCCAAGATATCTCCTGCAGTGAATGCTTACATCTATGGGCTTGGAAATGAGAATTATCGGGCAGGAATATGGCAGTTCCTCACCGGACAAAAGGTTGAGAGAACAGAAACAGATAACAAATCAAATTAAAATTCTCTCACTCTGGCTCGAAATTGCTTTCTTTTAGCACTGTGAAAATTGTAATTTTACATCATTTGTGTTTCTGTGAATGGCAGGTATACGTGTTTGGATACTTAATATGCCAATAAATGCAATGTTTGACTTTTGTTTTTTCTTTGTATTCTGTTTTATTCAACACAAATATCTACTTCTATAAGATATACGTTTTTAAAAAAATTATAATTTACGTTTTGGCATTAAAAGTAGAATATCAAGAATAAAGAATACTTTGCCTAATAAAACATATGTGAAAATGTCAGCAAAGAATTATAAGACAATAATCTACACATGTATAATGAAATTTTAAAAGTAAATTTGCAAAAATAAGGCTTACAACAAATGATAACTACCGTATATACTCGTGTATAAGTCGATCTCATGTATAAGTCGAGGGCAGTTTTGTGACCAACAATTGTGAAATATGCTATGCCTCGTGGATAAGTCGAGGGTAAAACTTGGGACTATGAAATTCTGTGATTTTAGAATTATATACACACACACTCATACAAACACACTCTGCATTATATACACACACACTCATACAAACACACACACTCATAAACAATCTGCATTCTACACACACACTCATACAAACACACATACTCTGTGTGTATATAATGCAGAGTGTGTGTGTGTTTGTATGAGTGTGTGTGTAGAATGCAGATTGTTTATGAGTGTGTGTGTATATAATGCAGAGTGTGTGTTTGTGTGTGTGTGAACTGGGTGGAAGGAGGGCATTTTTATTATAAATTTTTTATTTTAATATTGTAAGTTTTTTTCTTTTATTTTATTTGAATATTTAAGTTTTTTATTTTTTTAATATTAAGTTTTTTCTTTTATTTTATTTGAATATTTAAGTTTTTTATTTTTTTAATATTAAGTTTTTTCTTTTATTTTATTTGAATATTTAAGGTTTTTATTTTTTATTAATTTTTTTCTTTTATTTTATTTGAATATTTAAGTTTTTTTTATTTTAATATTTTAATTTTTTTTATTTTAATAGTTTTTATTGTATTTTTTTTTGTATTTTTAATTTAATTTTTGTCCCCCCTCCCTGCTTGTTAGCTGGCCAGGGAGGGGGGCTCTCACTCCCTGGTGGTCCAGTGGATGGGCTGTGCAGGAGGGGGGGGCTGACAGTGAGAGGTTACTTACCTTCCTGCAGCTCCCTTCTCCTCCGTGCAGCTCTTCTGACAGCTCCCACTGGAAGTCTCGCGAGAGCCGCGGTGACCCCGCGGCTCTCGCGAGACTTCCAGTGGGAGCTGTCAGAAGAGCTGCACGGAGGAGAAGGGAGCTGACAGTAGCTGCAGGAAGGTAAGTAACCTCTCACTGTCAGCCCCCAACAGGACCGCCGGGCTTGTAATGAGCCCGGCGGTCCTTGTCTGTATTATGGCAATGTAAATTGCCATAATACAGACATTAACTCGAGTATAAGTCGAGTGGGGGTTTTTCAGCACAAAAAATGTGCTGAAAAACTCGACTTATACTCGAGTATATACGGTATTTAAAAATAGACAATAGAAAATGAATGCTAAAACAGTGATCTCAAAATCTAGCTCCCCAGGTGTTGATGGCTTACAACTCCCAGAATTCTCTGAATGTTATAGATGGCTTGAGAATCAAGGGAGTTGTAGTGCAGAGATATCTGGAGGGTGGAGTTTGGGAGGGCTACGGTATTTTGAATATTTGTCAAATAATGGTTTTAGGGTCTATGAAATATAGATTACTTTAATTATATCTTTATTAAAGGGACACTATAGTCACCAAAATAACTTTAGCTTAATGAAGAAGTTTGGGTGTATAGATTATGCACCTGTAGTCTCACTGCTCAATTATCTGCCTTATTGGAGTTACATTACTTTGTTTATGCAGCCCTAGGAACACCTAGCAACTTACACAGCTTTCCTAAACACTTCCTGTAAAGGGTCATCTAATGTTTACACTTCCTTTATTGCAAATTCTGTTTAATTTAGAATGTATTATCTTCTGCTATCTTAACAGCTTGCTAGAGCCTGCATGAGCCCCCTGTATGTAATTAAACTTAAATTTACAGAGTAGGAGAGAAAAACGTTTCAATTAAGTTACATCTTATTAAAAATGAAACCATTTTGTTTTGTTTTCATGCAGGCTGTGTCCGTCACAGCCAGGGGAGGGGTGACTAGGTCTGCATAAACAAAATAAAAGTGGTTTAATTCCTAAGTAGCATAACATTGAGCTATGAGACTGCAGGGGCGCAATCTATACACAAATATTGCTTTAAATAAGCTAAAGTTGTTTTGGTGATTATAGTGTCTCTTTAATGTATATGTATACACTGTGCCATGTTAGGTTGGGGAAGCCAGTTAAGCATTTTTTGGTTTCAAGTCACAGTAGACACCTACATTTTGATAAATTGATGGACTTTTTCTAATCCTAAATTTACAGTGTTACTAAATATGTGTAATATTGCCCTTGGGACAGCCATTTTAAATACTCTTAAAGCATTCTAATGTAAACCATTTAGGCAGCTGGTCCTAACAGTGTTAGAATGAGAATCTTGGTGAGTTTAGGTAGAAAAGAAACATTATGCAATCTTTGGCCTACATACTTCTCAGATTATCTTAGTTGCAGTAAAGTAATTCCTTGAAGTAAAACATCTATAAAACTATTACATAACCGAAAGAAAATGCAAATAAAAAAAAACAAAAAAACAATTGTCAATTACCAACTAATTTCTATATACCTTGAATGTTTATCTAGTTATATTTTTTTGAAATTTTTTATTTTATTTACATGGTGTTCTATAATGTTTTGAAAGGTACAAATAAGGAAAATTAAGAAATCTATTTTCATAATCATTTCTACGAATATCTTTAAAGTTTTGCCAACATTCCCAACTGAAATCCTTGGTTGTAACATCATTTTATAACTATCTTTTTTCTTTGAATATTTATAACATAGTGTATTGCAAGTGTTAGGAACAAATAAAAATGTGTTTGTAAAGTCACTTCACTCCATTAAACATTTACAATTGAAAAATTTGTATTCGTTAGTTTTTGTAAATTAATTCTAAATAAGTAAATATATTAAAAAAAAATTAAAGAAAAGAAAATGTGGTTTACAGTGCTTGCTTATAAAAAAAAAATTCTTTCTCAACAGCAAGTATTAATTATATTTAATTATATATAATAATTAATTATAATTATTATATTAGTCTTGGATAAAGCTGAAAGCAATTTCACGAAAATATATCATAATGCAGGGCAATTTCTCAAGTGATCTCTATGAGTGATCTAATGTGCATTGTTGTGTATATCTATAGATAGACCATTGAAATGATTGCGGTACTAGATTAAGTATATTTATAGGTAGTCCATTGAAATGATTATGGTAATAGATTGAGTATATTTATAGGTAGTCCATTAAAATAATTATGGTATTAGATTGTGTATATGTATAGATAGACCATTGAAATGGTTATGGTAATAGATTGAGTATATTTATAGGTAGTCCATTAAAATGATTGTGGTGCTAGGAAACTGTCCCTGCACACTAGCAATGGGACCTGGAGGAATGGCTTGCATTTACATTATCTCTCACAGTGTTCCAACCATATAGAAAATCACTACAAAATTATATACTGGTGACACCTGTCCCCTTCAAGACTTCATAAAATGAACACTAAATATTCAGATAGGTGTTGGAGTCCTTGGTAATCTTACACATATATGGTGGCACTGTGCAAAATTGCAGCCGTTCTGGCAGGGAATACATTCACCGATTAAAAAGATAGATCCATCAATTATAACATTCTCTCCAGAGGTGGGTTTATTCAAAAGTCTCCCGAAGACATCAAGTAAATTAGATAGAATCATGGTGCGCCACATTCTTATTGAGGCCACGTTGATTTTTTTTTGTTTCTTTTTGATCATTATTTTTTTCCCCTTCCCTTCTTATTTCTACTCATTTCTATTGTTAAATGTTGATTTCTTTATATACCAAATTAATGTGAAATATTTTTTTTTTAAATACAGTTTAATAAAAATAGTTTGAAAAGAGAGCTATTGCAAGGGAAGGAGACTAAATTTTGAATGGCATGAGAATGTGCACACCAAGTAAGAGATTGTGTAAATTTCCTACATGACGTCAGTAGGTACAGGGTTTGGGTGTGGATGTTGTAGATTAATAAAAAATAAATACAATGAAATAAAATATATATTAAAACCAGAATCACTACATGATATGAATATGGTGACTAGTGTATCCCTTTAAGCATTCTCATTCTGGCCATACTTGTGTTTGACAATTTTGTTGAACAATAACGTTGCAGTTAAAAAAAAACATTTCCACAAAGAACAACTTCACCTGTTTGCAGGATTTACACATTGCAAAAAAAAACCAAAAAACATGAATTCAAAGGTTGGCGTTCTGTTAATACATATAAATATATTAATGGCTGTTAGTATTTCCCAGAGATGAGCTCTTACTCACGCAGTACATCTTTATCCACTGAACTCTAATACATACCACCTTTTGCAGAAAACACGTACATGTACACACCTCGTACAAGCCAGCGCTCCCAAGGGTCAATTTGTAAGCAGCAGATGTTACTCACTGAGAACTGGCTTGTAACAAAAAAAAAAAAAATCAAGGTCATTAGACAACATCTGGAGCTGGAGCAAATTCTAGGACGTGACCTAAAAAAGGAGCTTGTTATAAGCTGTGTTATTCTCTGCATGTTTCATCAAATGCATTGGTTCAGCAAAATCCCAGAAAACAGTGTTATTCAAAAGTATAATTTACTGTGCATTATCAAATGCCAAATGCCTCTGCTGAAGTTTAAGGGTAGAAAAATATTTGCAATTACCAAAAATATTTGGAGCAAAATATCATTCAGTTGCAAAAACTGTTAGAAAACAATATATAAACTTAGTAATGATAATGCTTTATTCAATTTCCTAGGTCATACAGTACGCTCTTTTAATAGAAATTAAACTTTATTAAAGAGTAAATCAAACACCATAAATTTAACTTAAACATACAAGAGGTAACGAGGGTCCTGCTCATCTACATTAAAAGCACAAGCTAATCTTGAAGCAGGTGGTTATAAATGTGAGTAAGAAATAAGTTAGGTATTTTGGGGCACAAGCTAATTCAGAGCATAATTCCATTCCCTGTCCCTTGGATAGGCCTCTATGCGCACTTATGCATGAGTTATGGTTAGCTTGCTATATTTTTGTCAGGGTTTGGCACTGATCCAATGCGTTAATAATGGATCAGAGCACAAGAATTGCAAAAAATAGAGAAAGAATATAAAGAATATTACCCTGCCTTAAAATAGTTCAGTAGAACGCACACGATAACAGTGAAAGAATTATCCGAGTACAAGTCAAAGTCAGCAAAATTGTACAGCACTAAATTTAACTAGCTGGTTAGGTTTTCACAGAAAAACTGAATTGTAACCATTGTAATTGTATCATGACTGGTTTACAAAAAAATACAAATAATGCCATAAAGAGCAAAAATAGACTTTTATAAGGTGTCATTTAACATGAATTATGATGCAATTCTGTGCCAAAAGTCAGTCAAATACATGCTCAAAATTCTCTTCTTTCGTTCCCACACACTTATTTTCTATTGTAGCTCTGCAAAGTGAAAGCAATTTTTTTTCTTAAAGGAATATTATAGGCACTAAAACAACTTTAGCTTAATGAAGCAGTTTTGTCACTCGTTTTATTGTTGAGCAATCATTATACACAATTGAAGCAGTAACATTATACAGTGTGAAGCACGTAAATCACATACGAGAGCAGCATAGTTGCATGAACAGCGTTGTTTGTTATTTTTTTTTAAGTATAATTGTAAACATGTGGGGACCATGTTGCAATACAGGCATGAATATACTATATATCAGGTAATAGTCCGATAGCCACACTGCAAGTGATTGAAACAATGAAAGTAAGTAATGGTACCTTGACACAGGTCAAGCCCAAGCCAGTAGTTGAAGTTGGCCCCCAGTGGTTAAGCCTTTGTTGCTGTCTGGGGGTGTGAGCTCCAGACCCGGTGTAGTCAGTTATTGGGCCCTACTTTGGTCAAGTGAGTTGCGTCTGTTAGCTACTCACTTGTCTGTAGGACATTAGGGGCCATTATGCCTCCCGTTTACAGCCCGTAGGCCCAATGCCGTGGGCCTCGTGGCCTGATCGACCAACCTGTGATCCTTTGGGCTCAGGATGGAAGCCGTGGCAACTACTCGGATGTGTCATGCTTGCGCTTTCATGTATGTAAAGCATAAGGTGGGTGTTAGGCAAAGGAAGGGGCAATGAAAGAGTGAGTGAGTGTAGGTGGGCCGAGAAGAGCGAGGTATAGACGAGGATAGTGAAGTGGGAGGAGAAGAGCAAGTGTAGAGTGGGATGGAAAGGCAAGGTGGGGGGGGGGTGGAGTTTGGGTTTCAATGAAGCAGTTTTGGTGCCTAGATTAGGCCCCTGAGGTGATGCTGTAAAGCTTTGTATTCCTAATGCTTTAGTGTTTCTTTAAGCTTAAGTCGTTTTGATGCCTGTAGCATCCTTTTAATGATAAATGCCCCAGGGCTCATATATTTGACTGTTATCCTATGAAGTGTCCTAATGTTACTGAAAACCATACTCTTGGTTTATCAGCCTCTTGATCTGAGTGACATTTATGATTTATTTACTTTTGTGCAACTTTTATTTTTCAGTTTAAAATATTTCCTTTCTACGAACATATGCATTTTTTAAATTTCATTTTCAATAAACTTTCAATAAAAATAATCTCACTGGGGTAAAGCTGCTGGAATTTCTGTCCTGGTCTGTTCTTGTGGGTGAGCTTTGTCTGATATGCAGGTGGTTCTAATGGTATACTGACTGGTCTCCAGCCTAGGAGCCAAATCTGCCCCCTCTATTTCTTTCTTTCCTTCCCCCAAGCAGGTACCGCCAAAAGAGCTATGTTACCATGGACTGCTGCTGGTGTGGAGATGTACAAGTCTCCACACCAGCAGCAGTCCATAGTAGCTGGGAGCAGCTTCTGGTCTCCATGATGGAGATCTTGTGTGATGGACTTCCTCCGTATTTACATGCAGGTGGATTTAGTGCAAGTCTCCACACCAGGAGCTTCCATGGTAGCAGAAAGCAGTTTTGTTCCATTCATCCTGTCAGATAGCACACACAGAGAGAAGAATGAGCAGAATGCATCCCTTGTATGAAATGTTACAAAAGAAGGTTAACCAGCTGCTGCCTGTTCTCCGTATTCTCTTGCGTCCTGTTTTTTGCTCTCCATAAGTTTAAAGGGTAATCCAGACGTAGACCCCTTGATCACGGTGCCTAGAGAGATATCAGCTATGCCTCACTGATGGTGCCTAACAAGGCTGAAACGATCGTCTGGGGTTGCTGTATCTCTTGTGCAGAGGGAACCTGCTGGCATTTCAGATCTGGACTGCCCGTATGGGTGGGACCAGTCTGATATGTTTCAAAGATGTTCTCTCTGTAATGGCACAAGATGAGCTAAAACCAGCTTGAGAACTGAGCAGGAACCCACCGAAGGGCAGGCTATTTCAGCTGCTGCCTGTTCTCAGTATTCTCTCTTTAAATGAGGGGTGGCATCAGATTCAATGGAGCCCCCGTTGATTGTGAGGAGTGTGAACAAGCCATATAGCTTTAAAATAAAAAAAAACACCTTTGTATTAAAGAATTGAAAACTAATGCAATTCATGCTCAAATGAACCTGTTCACAACTAAATTAACCAGTTTATATCTAAATGCCCATAACAGAGTGAGTTTAGACTTCTCCCAGTTTATATACCAACTATGATGTTGAAGGACTAACAATTTGTAATGCACCCCTCTTCAACAGCCTCAGGTCTTCACCTGTGTTTTCTACTGTGTCTTATCTTAACCCACAGCGGCTACATTTTTCACCCATCCTGTTGACTACTTCATTATGTTCACATCGAAGGTGTGTTGCAAACATCTGAACATCGGGCCCTTTATCTTTCCTCATGTGTATCTGTTTTTTTTTTTTTCTACAGTCTCCAAGCATATCAAAACAGGGTTGTGTGCTACATAAATCCATCTGTTATGACATACGAAAAGTTAATAT